AAAAATCGAGAAAAGTACACATGTTTTTCAAAATTCTATAACTTCGTCAAAAAAAATCAAATCGATTTGAAATTTTGAGGACTTACATAGAACTGTTCAAATAACTATTTTCTATTAACAGAAAGTACAAAAAATATTTTTTGCAAGTTTGGCAAGTGTTCAAACTTAACAACTTTTTTCACCATAGCAACAACTCATGATGAAAAGGTGGATTCAGTTCGCAAAAAACAAAGTATTGCAATTTGATCATATGTAACTAACTGTAAAGAGTTCACATTAGAACGTATCAAATTTTCATGCCATTTGAATGATTTTTCGCAGTTCTATGAACATTTGAATTTAGAACTTTTTTTTGTAGATTTCAAAATTTTCGCAAACTTTTGACCGGTAGTGTACGTACTCAATTAATATTTACCATTTCCTTAACAATATGAGTTATTTTTGTTAACAATAGAGCGAAGCAATAGAATTCAAAATTAATCAGCTTGGCGTTATTAAATTTCCTCCAAAAGAAGCATCTTTATTTAGAAAGCACGGAATTTCATTTATAATATTCCTTCTATTATTTCAAATTCCTTCTATTATTTCAAATTCCTTCTATTCTTCAAAAGGCAGTAAAAAAAAGACATTGCAATATTTATGCACTGTTAAAAAAATGTTTCTCTAACACAGTCTGTTGCTAATTAGCATGCTCATTTATTTTTTTCTTTAATTATTTTTTATTTTTAGTTACGTGACTTTTGCAAAACAACGATGATACTTTTATTCAGGAATGACTACACACTCACACTTTTTTCTTATTTGTGATGTTTATTTGGATAAATTAGCGTCATTAACTTTGTTTAAAATTCTCATTTTCTTGACAATAGTTTAACACGACTCTCACCATCGTTTTTGAATTTGTATTGTACATCTTGCTGACAAAAAGTTTCGAATTGAAATTTAAACTATTTCATAAAAATTAAATTGCAGTGCGAAAATTATGACCAACATTATTTTTTTAATACATTTCAGTTTATATAATTTCACTGCACAAAAAATTAACTGATTATTTACGTAGATAACACAATTTTTTTAACATCATGTGCAAACATTTTTTTTTTACTAAAAATATTATTTAGAATCGAGGATTGCAAAATTCATGATTTCGTCAAGTTTAGTTTTTTTTAGATTTCATATTTCTTAAGGATTTACTTTTTTTTAAAAAATTTTCTATATTCTGATCAAAAGTTACCCGTAGCTATTTAGTTCACTTCTTCTAGTGTTTTTAAACTTTTTTAGCTGTTCTTTTTTTTCACTTGCTAACAACTTGAAAAAATTCGTGTAAATGTTTTTTAAAGCATTAAAATAATAAGACGACTTTCACTATAAATTTGTAAATATTTCCAAAAGACTTCCAACTCCAACTTTTTTTTTTACACTTCAAGTCATCTTTAGAATTTTTTATTCATGCAGCAGTATATATATATATTTTTTTTTTATTTTTATTCTTAAGAAAAGTGTGACATTTTTCATTTGTAAACCAATATTTTTACAACAATAAATGCAACTGCTTTTAAATATAAAAACTGACATAACTAAACACTGGAAAAAGAAGGATAAAGAAACAGACAATTTAAACACTGTTTCCAAACTTAAAAAAAATAACTATACTAAAATTTACAAATACATTTTGCATCTGCAAACAATTTTACGAGAAAAAAAGAAAAGATTTCACCTTTACGAGTAAGATCTTACTTTACAAGATGACAACAAAAAACATCAAAAATCCCACAAGAAAATATTGTCCACTTAAAAAAATTAGTACCTCTATGTAATGAGGTCTCTCTAATTCATAATTAAAAAAATATATTATCCATCTTTATTTAATTATTAAAATATTTCTCTCATTTTTAAGTTTAATACACTAATAAAACATTATCAATAGTTATGCTTTTCTTATGTTTCGAACTCTAATATCGTATCTAAAAAAGACACACCAATTCTGTGATAGTCCTCGGGGATTTAGTTTTAGAGTGATCTTCTCTTAAATTTATCATGTTTGAGACTCTCGTTTCTTGAACTTTTCGAGACGAAAAACTTTCATACATACAGCGATGACCCTCGAGACGAAGAAAAATTATGAGTTTTCAAGCTGAATGGAGAGTATGATTGTTGCAGACACTCCTTTGAGAAATGAAACTAAAACTTTTACGTCATGCTTTTCTTCATATAAAGTTCAGACGTCATGTTTTCGATATAAACAGGAATTTTCCACTTATTCTTGTTATAGGGATTTCTTTGTTTTTATAATCTGAATCAAAGATAAAACGTTTTAAAAATTATTATTGTTTTGTACATATTTTCCATTTTTTTTATTGCCTCGTTACACAATTTTTGTTTTAATGTAAATTGCATTATTATAAGACTTTTTGTGACATAAAAACAAAACAAGAGAGAACCTTTTTTTGACCTATTAATTTTAGTGTTTACAGTTTCAAAATTTAGGGACATTTTATGGTTTAACGTAATAAGAGGCTTGAGGTAGTATAGTGATAAGCAACACTTTTTTAGAACGTGCAATTTTACATCGAATTGATTGTTTCCTCTGTAATAATGCTTCTTTTTAAGTTTAAGGATAGAATTTACACCATTTGGCTCAAAGATTTTATTTTTTCTCCAAAAATTAATTTTTTTTGACAATTTGAAAAATATCATTACATTTCTCTACATCTTTCCTACAATGGAGAAACATATTTATTTCAAATTTCATTCTTGTAAAAATTCACCTTCTATCAAAAATGACTGAATTAGCAAAAAATTACCACTATTGTTAAGTGAAATAGATTTTCTGAAGTATATGAAAGCAATATATTTTCAACGTATTTATGCTGAAATTTAGTATAACATTTAAATAAATATTAACGGATCAACAGCGTGTAACGAAATTTCTGGTCCCAGCTGTAAAAAGAAGTAAGTCTCATCATACGAGCTAAAAATTGCAGAACAACACAAAACCAGAAATGTCGTCGCACCCCACTAAGGATGCCCCCATTACTTTTTATAACCAAAATAACCAATTTTTTGCCTTCTGTGGTGACAATTTTGCTGAGCTCGCCATATTTCCAGGAATGTTGCCATAAATAACATTATCTCATATATATTGAAGCCTTTAAATAAATTTTACGGATTATATATATTTAAATTTCAGTATTCATTTAGCTTAGTGTTTGTAGCATTTTTAAATATATTACTTTACAGAAGAAGATTCGGGAGCTCTGGAAGCCTTAGTTGGTGTTCTTATTGGAGCTCTTGCTGTTTTAATTCTTCTCGCCGCTACTGTAACGTTACTTGTGTGTCTGCAACGCAAGAAGAGATCGAAGAAAGGTGAGCTCGTATGGATTTAGCCATTGAATTACAACTATTATTTACGTTAATTTAAAAGAAAACCAAAATTATAACTTCTTAAGTTAAATTTTGCATTTTTAGCTTAATTCAAACTATTTTAAAATGTTTCAATAAATCATATCTGTTACGAAATTTTATTCTTAATTGTCATCGGAATTTTTTAATGGAAGAACTTTTTGAAATCTTTATTTTACAGAAAGAGTCTGTGTTAGTTGGAAAATAGGATTGAGTACTCTACTTAAGAGCTACATTAATATAGAGACTCATAATTAACCTGGGAGGGCAGGAAGCATGCTAGAGTAGCCCAAGGAATAATTTCTTGCATAAAATAAGGCCATGCCGACGTCATTCAGGGGATGTTATGTAAAGTTTAATCTGTAGTAATGAAATTTTGGATCTCTGATTCAACACCTAAGCTACATGACGCAGGATAGCGGTGATTGCTTACACCCCCCGCCCACAAAAAAATGCGAAATGTAGAAAGAAAACATTATTTAAGTCGTTACTCATGATCTCGAGTTATTAGCGCACATGCGTGCAGACTTACGCTTATATAGAAAGAGATAAATGTTTCTGTTTCAAGAAAATAAATTGAAGAGAAGTTTAGTTTTATCAAATATATATATATTTATTTTTGTAATTAAGATAGTGTTTTTAACCTAATATTTTTTGTCATTGTAATTATTTAGCTAAAATTAAGAGTAAATGTAATCGAATTTGTGAACTAAACCTGTTATCCAAATGTTGTACGTACAAATATAACTATTTCTGGAATAAATGGAATTCAACTGAAAAAAAAATTACTTTACTTTTTAGAGGCAATTATAAATTTCGTGGCTAAATTTCAAAATTAAAATTTGCCAATTATTAAAACAATTTGAATTTATACATTTGCACAGTATGTAATTTTTTTGTAACCATCATAATCAGTATTTAACTTGTTATAATTTAAACGAAACTAATTTTCCTATTTCGAAATTCTAGGAAGAGCTTATCCAGATGAAGAAAAGTAAGTTTTATTTTTTTTAAATATTATTTTCATATATTTTTCAGCGATAAATAGTTTCAATATTTTTTTCCATTTATTTAAATAGTCGTGTTTATGAAATGAAGCCCAATTAAATTTCATGATTTCAGAATACATATAACTTAACAAGAAACTGCAGAATAATTAAAATAGTTAGAAGGATATTGAAATATTCAGACTTCAGTTCAAATAGAGGGAGCAAGGACCAAAATATTCTTAGTACGTATACAGAATTACATAAATCAAATAAGCCACTGAATGCTCTTCGAGGAACTACAGTTGCTGAGAGATAATGAAAAGCAAGACGATAAGTGAGGGAATTGCACTAGTCACATTTTATGCATTTTTTTTTCTTTTTTGATCTATTAATCATTTGCCATTGGATTATGGAACATCGATTATTGAAAGAGGTTGGATAATGTATGTGTTGTTGAATTTTCAAATGATGCACTTGTACACTGTTAGAATGTTCATTCTAAAAGTAGGGTGAAATAACCAGCAGCATTAAATTTACTGTATAGTCTACGGTAAAGAACATGTTTTATCTTCGCAATTTTGAAACTGTTTGCAACTAGTATGGCTTAAAACTATGAATACAAAATTATTTGTTTTCTTTTAACCATTTACAACTAGCATGATTTCAAAACCATAAAATCGGGACTGAACTGGATATTGGAGACAAATTAGCAGCCTTATGTGACTGCTGTCTATGGTTCAATGAGTTTCTCGTAATCTAATAACGCAGTGTCGCAAATAGGGGAAAGCAGGACACTGATAACTCTTCATGTGAAGATAATGGAGACAAAATTGGTGGTGTCAGTTCTGGAACTCGAACCCCAATTCTGTCGGTCATGAGACTGCCAGATTTGCCCTTTCGACTATAATATACACGCAATTGCAAGGAACTTAATCAGGGCTCGAAAAACCGCCCGTCCTCGCGGTCAAAAATTCCCAGCGGACAACGAATTTCTCGAATCCGACGTCAGTGCGGACGGCCATTTTCCCGTAAAAGTTCGTGATACATTTTCAATTTTTGTTACCTTACAATCTTTTTTGAAGGAGTAGATAAAGAAAATTTTTCTCAAGAATGGGTGTCATTAAAATTTAAGATACATAACATCGTTAAGCACCAGAGAACTTCATTCCTCCGAGCCTAAGATATTTATAAAACTTAATACAGCAGAATGACCCTCAATACAGCAAGATACTGCGCATGGTGGAGTTGATGTTTGATGTTTTCTCTGTCCGGGAGTACTGCAGTGGTTGAAAGGGGCTTTTCAGCAATGAACTTACAAAAAAAAAAAAAAAAACACTACGTACTGGCCTTAAACAAGAAGCGTTAAACGCAATTATGAACGTCTACCTAAATGGAAAACCCCTTTAAGATTTCTGTGCAGAAACCTCTGTAAATCATTGACTTGATTGTGGAACTGGCAAACGTCTTATTTGATTCCTTTAAAAAAGCAGTACCGTCGGATAAATTGACATTCTAGATAATTTGACCTTTGTCATTTAAATTATTTCATAAAAGAAATAAATTATTTCATCGCAGAAACAGTAGGTTACTATTAGTTACCTAGTATTTCTTTTATTACTGTATAATGTAATCCTAGTATTTGTAATCCTATTAACTACTAATTCATTGTGCAATTTATATAAATGTTTGCAATAAATAAGGGAAAATTATATTTTTATTTATTCAGAAGCTACGGGTTAGTTTCAATGGGGGACGGGTACATTGTTGGACAAGTCGTCCTAGGAGACGGGTAAAATTTCTGAGTTTTTTCGAGCCCTGAACTTAATGCCTTCATTAGTGTTGCTTAGTTGGTGCAATAAAATTCTGGTTGTTTTACCGTATTAGGTGAAAGCAGTAAATGAACGGTTTTTCCCACAGCTGACAGATTTATTACCAGTTTGTTTACGGTTATTTGACTATTTTATTTAAATATGACAAAATAACAATTAAATAAATTGTTATTTAATTATTTTTTACGAGAAATTTCTAACAGTGTATGTTCAAAAGCATGAGTGTTTTAAACATAAATATAAAAATTAAGCCAATAATTTTATTTATATGTATAACATGTATTTATAACGTTTCAGATCTGATCCACAGTTGAGCAAAGAGTGCAAAGAGCCATGCGTTGCCAGTAGCTATGGACCAGACATTATCCCAGAAAAAAGTTTCTACAGAGGTAAAACATTGAACTTTCTATTTCAATTTTTGAGAAATAATATACCGTTGAGATGAAACAAATGTAAAAGAAAAAAAAAAGATAATGCGAAAAGATTTGAAGAGAGCTTAGTAGAGGAAGGTAGCAGGTTGTGACTTTTTTAAAACGAATCTGAGAAGGATTTTTAAGTTACTAGTTTGAGTTGTATACAAATCAAATATTTTTTTTCTGCCAGGTAATTAAAAAAATGTTTTAAAACGAAAAATATTAAGTACGTAGCTTTTGCCGTCACTATATTTACCGGCATAATGCTACTAAACTCATTAAAATGACTTATCTTGCAAATATCTACCACTAAGTTTTTCGAAGTAAGCATGATAGATTCATTCAATAAAAAATAATTACGATGTTATTCAGGAAATCTTAATTTATTTTAAAGTGTTTCGAAAATATGCTTAAGCCCGTTTGAGTGAAAAATTAACAGTAATAATTAGGGTAATTCTCGAAGTTTATTTAAAAGTTGGAATTTATTTACGTCCAATATAAGTGCTAGAAGTTTGTCCCCTATTAGCTTCAGCAACCATCTTGAATTTATTGTGGGGCAGAGAGGGTTGAAATTAGAAATCTTAAACGATCCAAACATGCTGAGTGAAGTATTCCTTCCTATGTGTTTATTTTTATATTGTATCAAATTAAATTTATCCGTCGTCGATAAAACTATTTGTTTATTTATTTAATTAATAACTGCCGTTGAACAGCAGATCCAATTTTGAGTTTACGACTGCTAATTTTCAACTCCGTTGGCTTGGAATTTTGAACTCTATCCAAAGGACAAGGGAAATCCTGGAGTAAGTATTGGGTGTAATTTGCCATTGTGAAGGACTATTTGATGATACTAACCCACATTTGCGTTACATGTAAAGCGAAAACATGGAAACTTACCATGTTTAGCCTGACGGCAGAGGGACTCTAACCTATGATTTGTCGTATCCCAGATATGGGATTCGAACCCAATTTACCTCATTGGGAGGCGAACGCTCTTACCCTAGAGCCACCACGGCTGAAATGTATTTGCTTAGAAGTTATCATATTTTGAAGGTATATGAAGGGAGTAATACCTCAATACGCCCATGTCCACGTACGTGTCCTCGTATTCAGAATACGTAAAAAATTTTATGTACTTAACTATAAATTTTTGAAATATTCCGGTGAAATATAATTAAGTTCTTATAATAATATTATCTTGTTTAATGTAGTATTGTTTTAGCTTGTTCGAACAACTTGACAAAATAAGTTTTTTATTTCTTGAACATCCAAATTCAATTAACTAACAAATCTGAAGGGAAAGACTTAAAAATGAGAATCATCGAATTAGTAACTTAATAATGGTTCAAGTACCTCAATATATTGTACCTTTGACTACTTTTTCTTATGACAAATCCATTCATTAAAAATATAACAGAAAAGTGTGAAGAATTTGTGTTTCGGGTAATAACCAAAAACTAAATCATATGAGGTCAAAAGTGATAACAACACAAAAATTACTATCCCCTGCTATAAATAATAATGTTCTGATTATACTCAAACAATATTTAGAAATAGCTAAATAAAAGGATTTTTTTTTACTCTGGAATGTTTAAATATACTTCAAATATGTAATAATAATTACATTTCATAACACTGTAAATGTGCTTTTCTCTGAATCGCAAAATTATGGACTATCACATTTCACCCTGGAGTTTTCAAATATTTGAAAATTGAAAGTCAAATAAAAGTACACATTTCCTTTTCAATTTCAACAAATTTCCTTGCGATTATTAATCGAATAAACTGCTATATTTATCAATAGGAGGTAATTATAAAATCGAATTATCTAATTCATACTCGGTAGTGTTCGCTTAGAGAAAGATACACAGAAATTCAACACAACCTTAGTTCGTTCTTATACTCACTAGGACAATTAGTGATTATTAGATTATTCTAGAGATACCTAAATATGGCAGTGTTATCATAATGGTGCTAATGTTTGACGAGAAATAAGGTAAATACTCCAACCTAAACCAATTAATATTCAGTCTTTTGACAAACAAAACTTAATTAAATATGCAAATCTAAATGGTTTTGTGAAAAGATAAGCATTGTAATGAAATTGAAATTGTTAATAGATATTTTAGGTATCATAATAATATTCTTCTTATTTAAAAATTAGTTTCCTTAGGCAATCTAAATAGAGTTAAAGTGGATTATTTAACATCATCTAAATCAAAGAAATTTAAAATTAAATATTTGTTTTTATAGAAGATTTTTTTAAATCATGGAAATAAAGAATGGCGAATTAAATAGATGTGTAGGTGTACTTATCAGAGTGTTTCTTCTGAAAATTAATATTGAGGACCGGAGTTGTTTTATAAAACTGACTAGGAATTAAAGTATTTAAAAAAGAACTTTGAACCATCTTTTTAAAAGTGGAGTTACGCTTTGATGATAAGTTCAATATGTATTGATCGCTGTCTAGCTATCTTTAAGATATAACCTGAAAGGAAATAAAAAAATAAAAAAAATAGCACATTATTCCATAAAAAGCATTATTATATATATTGAACGAGTTTTAAAACTCAGTTCAAAAAAGTTTTGCTGCTATCTTTATCCTGATTATAACGAAATGACATGATTTGACTTTATTTCCTTAACAATCTTCTGAATCAATTCATTTTGTTAATCTTCACTGTGGAAAAAGTATGAACATTACTACTAGAATAACGGTACTACTTGGTAATAGTTTTGGAATAGTTAATTGTAAAACATGGTTAATAATCTATGTTAAAATTGGTAAATGTGGGTAAATATGGTAATTTTATAATTGAAATAGGAAAAAAATGGATAAATATGACAGGCGAAGCTGACGTCTTCAGGGTGTACCAGCTCCGGAAGTCATAAAAACAAAATCTTTTCTATCGAGAAAGCATGATAGAAGTCTAAAACTGCTCTATCTGTGCCCCAAAGATTTTGCCAAAGTCCGGAAAGAGAATACAATACGAAATATTAAATATAAAATAAATACAAAAGCAAATACAAAAGAATAAAAACAAGACAATTACATACGAATAGTACGCTCCATTAGAAGTATTATTTTAAATTGCTTTGAATGTTTTGAATTTGGTACTTCAGAGCATGGTACAAAATCCCTTCATTCGATCGAATTTACTTTTCAGTTCCGTATTTTTAACTAAATGTGTGTTAATACGAACTATAATTTTGAAAACCAAAATTTCCGGTAAGCCGTTACCATAGGAACGCATAAATAACGAAATGAATGATTTACTTTGAGTAGTTTTTTGTTTTATGAACCAGAATTATGCTTTTCCTAATCAAAAATGTAATTACCATACTTCACGGTAATTCTACTAGAATATTTCTCTCCTTGTAGTTTGAATTGAATTTTTTAATCTTTTAGAATATTTTTGCAACCTGCAGGGTTGGAGGAATTCTAACAATTTTTCTATTAAAATTGGCATGTAAATTTTAAATGAACTTTTTTGTTTAAAAACTGCTTATCATTAGGAAACACATTTGCTATTAACTTGTTATTAAAATTACGGAAATCACTGCAGTAGGTCCTAAAAAATGTGTTCTTTAATGATTATATATATATATATATATATATATATAATGAGATAGTGAGAGTTCTAGCATTCAAGATGGATGCTATGATGGATAAAGTTAAATAATTTACACAAATTTCTAATATTATATTTTATTTTATTTTATGACCGCCGTTGAACAGTCGACCCAATCTTTGGGTTTACGACCACCAATGTTCTAATATTATATTAAAATAAATAAAGTTTTCGTACCAATAACAACAAAAATATTTTGCAGGTTATTTGCAAATACATTTTCTTTCGTTATTTTTTTCGTCATTTATAAAATTAAACCCGTATTCCACTTTATTAAATCTGCATTTCAACATATGTTTCTACTCTCCGCTCAAACAAACCTTTATAGTTTTCTGCTCTTATGTTTAACCTCACCATTATTATCAAAAACCAAATTTCAAATTTTGCAATAAAATTATTCCAATAAAAATGAACAAAGTAAAAATTTCATCCAGTGTCTAAATTACCTATTTTTACAATATGATTTGATAAAATCTGCTGAATATTGAACTAAAAATTGGATTGGTAAAAATAAAAACAGTTACAGGAGAATAAAATATTTCGTATTAAGAGAATTGCATAGTGTAGTAATTTTCTTTAAATAGTAACATAACGTAATACTAATTATAATTTGAATAATTTTCATTTAATAGTAATTAAACTGTTTTAAGTGAAATAGCTTATTTTACATTTAAAGGAAAATAAGTAATTGTTCGATATTAATAACTCGTAAATGACACTGTTGCCAAAATTTTAAAGTGTTTAACTTTATGTTACAATACGTTTTGCAGCTCTGAAATTGTGATACTTTGAAATTTATAAAGATGAATAAGCAGAGGAAAACGCTATAAGAGTACAAAGTCAATAAATAATTAGAAATTTATTAACTGTTAAACTCTCATTGAAACTTTCTCCAAGAATTTCTGCAACCTACAGAAATATAACTACAGGGTTGAAATTTGAGGAGATGAAAGGGCTTTTTCTTTATTTTGGTTTTCAATATTGCTTTGAACAGTGACCGTATATCTATTATCACCAAAGAATTAAATAAAAAAAATTATTTCTCTCGAAATTTTTATTTCCAAATTTTTTATCATTCTCCGTTGTATAAGGTGAAAGTAAAAGTAAAGGAATGAATTGTCCACAAATAACGAAGAACAATCAAGAAGAATGTTTGATATTTCACAACTCATTTTACGAAAAAAAGATTTTGAATACTAATCACCATAAAAAATTGAATTACCAAATCTAAACATTTGTTTTAAATTATTAATATCAATAAAATGGTTTAAGGAAGTTAAAAATAGCAACTTTTCCATTTTTTTGCACACAAAAATTGCTAAATGGAATAGTGAGTGTATTTTTTAAAAATCAAATTGGGATAGTCTTAGTTATTTTTCCAAATATTATGTTCATTTATATAAAATTTATCTTAAAATATACTGCAAAAATTTATTTACACATTTAAGAAATTTTCTTGTTGCTTTTGAATAAAAACTCATGTTTATACGATATTTTCTTTCAGAACGTTCTAGCTCTCTAATCAATGTGATAGAAGTGGAGCAAGGAATCAATCCATCTTCTGCTCAAAGTGATCCAAGCTCCAGAAAGTACCGAGAATATGATGCATTCTCTTATCCAGAGGGACCTGGGATACATGCGGTGAGTCTCGTTTACTTTGCGACTCGGTATAGATTATGTTAATAATAAAAGAATGTTGACATTATTTAGTTTTGCGAGTAAGATACATAATTGAGCATGAATGGGTTTATCATGATAGTTAGATCTATATACATAACTGACCCCATTTATAGGATTCGTTTTTTTCCAATTACTTCATGTTGGAAAAAACAGTAGATTTTTTTTTTAAATCTTGGTAATTAATATCTTTTATAACACATAGGTATATTAGGTATTATAAATTTAACCTAAATAGAGATTGAAAATTTAAATCTTTATTTAAATTTTAAGGAAAATGAATTTTCAGTAATTTCCTTGATTTTTTCTAAAAATATGCCAAAATTAAAAGTACATTTACTTTCATTACCTGAGACGTCATGAACAGTTTTTTTAATTGTATTTAATCTGATTTTTAAAACTATTCAGTTTTCTGCAAACATGTATCAATGACAAGTAGTTAATTAAGCAAGATATTATGATTCGACTCCTATAAAAATGAACAATTGGTTGCCCTCTCAGTTTTTTTTATGCCATAAATTTGAAAAAAAAAGCTGCATATACATTCAACCAAAAATTTCGCAGTGTATTGTTTTTGTATTTGATATTACCCCTAAGACCTAGTGATATCTGCTACATGTTATTGAGGATTTTATTAAATAAAGCATTGATTCAATATGTTTTGTTACTTATGCAGACGCATTTATACAAAACATTAGTGCAAAGAAAAATCTTCCTGCACTGTATAAATTCATTTTCTTGCATCATAATTGTGCACAACAAATAATATGATGAACGTTAAGTGATACAATTGGATAGTATGAATAAATTTAGTCTATATTATTAGAAAAGTCTTTTCAAATCATTGTGCGTCTGTTATAAAATAACATAAATCATCTAATCATGAGTCATACATTTTAATGTATCATACATTTTAACAACTCATACATTTTAAAAACATTCTTTTTGAGAAATTGCTGCTGCATTCTCGAAATTAAAGGAAGTAAACAATGGTTATTAAGAATTGGCTAGCACTGTAAATGCTAGATAATCCTTTGCTTTACTACAGAATTGAGAAAATACTTCCTTTAAATACCTCATCATATAAGTTGATTACTGTTGTAGTTTTAATTTTACTGTTGTAACTCCGTGTACAAAAATTTAAAGATTATGACCAATATAAAAAACATTTAAATACTTTATCATTCCATGTTTAATTTCTAAAAGAGGGTGGGGAAATAAGAAAAATGGATGATTCAAAAACAAAATGATATATGTAGAATATGATATTATTAAAATAGAAACGTTAATTTTTTTCAAACTCTTCTTCCAAAATTATTCCATCATTGAAATGTAGTCACAGCATATGGTTTTAATACCAAAATTATTACAATAATTAATGTACTGACATAATATAATTAATACCAAAAATTAATACTACAAGCCAAACTAGAGTAATTGCCAACATAGAATAATTATCAAAAATAGAGTAAATGTGATTTTATTATCAAGGATTATCTGATATTAAAACAAACAAACATGCACATTTATTATGTTAGCGAAATAAAAAGAGATATGAATATCTTCAAAGCAGTTATAGAGTAAATGCGGAGATGAGAAAAACTGGGAGCTATTTATAAAAATGTAGTTCTATGTTAAGCATGAGTAACAGAAGCTATCATTAACTTCGAGATGAGATTTAGCTTACAATTTGAATTTACTTGAAACAGGGACAATATCTTTTTAAACAAGAGCTCTGCTCAGTAACGAAATTCAAAATTGTGCTTTCAAAAACAGAAAATGGTACTTGCTCATGTCACCGAAACTACAGTTGGTCTACCTTTGCTCCAATACCAATGCATTACTCACGTTGTTTTTCTTCATTCATACATTGCACAGAGTATACTTTATCTTTATTTAAATAATATTGATAGGTTAGAAGTTATACGTATAATTTTACTTCAGTTCATAGTAAAAAAATCCAAATAAAATTATGGTGAAAAGTACCTGCATTCAGCGTGCCGGTATTTTTTACCGTAAAATATATTTTTACCGAAACATGATATGAAACAAAAAAAATCTGATATACCATTTTTTTTTGCAGTTATAATTACTGTAAAATCACTGAATCACTTTAATTAAATATATGTCATTGTAAAAATATTTTAAGGAAAAATTGGATCATTCGATAAAATGGGTTTTTTGAATGATGCACCATAAGTGACCGTACTTTATACCGTTATTCGACTAAGGATTTTTCACTGTATGCTTATACTTATTTACGCATAAACACTTATACATTCGAAACTATTAACTCTGATAGCTTAGTTTTTGCCTAATTAGTTTACACGTTAAAAAATACAAAAAAGAAAAACAAAACACACTTCTAAATCAAACGATTAACTCAGTGATTCTCAACCACGGTGCCGCGGCACTTTTGTGTGCCGCCAAATTCTGAAAATGTGCCTCCAAATCTTAGAAAAGATACATTAAAACTTAACTACGTGAACATCTTTGTCGGCGACTGTCTTGTCTCTGACTATCTTAAAATAAGAAAGAAGAGTTTAAATTGTCATTGACAAAAAATTTTGAAATAAGTAGAAAACTTAATGACTATTAAAATTATTAATTAACAAAAACAAGTAAGCTGAGTATTAACATTCAAACGGAAATAAAAGCTAATCATTAAAGTAAGCTATGCAATTTATAATTCTAAAAACAAATTAACAAAGGATAACTAACAAAAAATAAGCTGACAATTAATAATTAGCAATAAAACTAATTAACAAGAAATCACAAAAAAATAATAATTAATGTAAAAAACTAACAGTTAAAAACAATAGAAAATAAGATAACAATTAATAATTAGCAAAAGAAATAAAAAACTGTTGCTAACTAATAAAAAATTAGTCGAAAGAAATAATTAATTCCTTAATAAACGTGCTTTTGTTGTACATATTATTTTATTTCACGTTCAAAATTATTATCACAAACTATTTAACACAGTGTATTATAGGTAAGTAAGCAACTTTTAAACTAATTTTTTTCATTGTGTGCCGTCAAATTTCGAAATCGTTAAAAGTGTGCCGCCGCAAAAAAAAGGTTGAGAATCACTGGATTAACTAGACATAAAACGCTTAGTCAAAAGTACCTATTTTCTGATCAAAACGTTTTTAACTGTATGCGTCATTGACCTGAACTTGAAATTGTTTGATTTAACACAAATAAATACATAGGAAACAGTACCTCACTAGTCTAGATAGCAAGGTATAAGTTTTTTTTTATCCCTCCACTCAATAAAACTATGGTTTTAACAATAGGTCATTTCATGTGAGAAAATATTTTCGCATATTAATATTGAACACAAACAAAATTTTTAAAAAAAAATTGCTTTGAGCATAATTTTGTTTTATGAAATATTAATGTCATACTAATTATAACTTTAAAAATAAAAACAAAACAAAAACGTATACACCATTTCTTAAACATAGAAGATATCTCTAAAACTTCAAATCTATACTTTAAAAAAGAAAGGACTTCTTTAATACAAGCCCATTTTATTTTTTAAAAAAAATCCGTAGAAAGTAAAGTCTCCAGCAGACATTTTCAAAAGAAATGAAGGATGAAAGGAATGGCGATGATTGACAGCTTAACTCTTTAAAGTTCTTTCGGAAATGGAGAATGTTTCAATCTACAGGAAAGTAACCTAATTTTGATCAAAGTGGAAGGCCTACCAGAAAAAGGAGTTGGGAGTCGTAATTTATGTAGATTAATCTTTTGCGTGCAAGAGTAACAGTAATTTACGTGACCTGAATGTTCATTTAATCGAAGTTCTAAATGTAAAGAAGAATTAGAAAATATATTTGCTTTTCATTGTTTTTAATGAAGTAGTTATATTTGTGTGTTTGGCTGATTTCCATTGCTTGAAGAATTTTCAAGGATGTTCACTTGATTACTATAAATCTAAGGAAAATAAGAAGTATTTGCAATTTCCATGTTTAGGTAAGACTTGATTTAAAATAGTCCATACGGGATAGAGACGTGATTTTAAAATATTTTATGTTTATACAGGAATTCATTAATTTATTTACTCGTTTGAACAATTCATTGATGTTTTCTCACCTTCTGAATTAGTTTTTCGTTAATACTCAATAAAAAGTTTCAGTTAAGAGCTGCCATTCGACATCAAAGAGTTGATCTAAAATTACGAAGAGTCTTTTATTTACAAACAAGATTACTTACTTTTTTAAACAAAATTACGTACTTGATTATTATTTTCTTAACCCTTGAATCACCGTTGGAATCATTTTGATCGTTTTTTTTTGAAGATGCACGTGATTTTTGAATATCATTTTGTTTCAATTTCCTAAATTATTTCTAAGTAAATATATAAAATTTTCATACCTTTCTGTCGATTAGTAAAAAAAATAATTATGGAAATATGGGTCAGTTTGACCCCATTCATAAATTTCTATTTTGCAGAGTCTATTTTATGTCTATTTTGCAGAGCTGCAAAAGTGATGAAGTTCCATTGTAGAGCGAGAATTAGGGTTCACCGTGTTAAAAAATGTCTCGCTCAACAGTTTTCGTGAAATTATATTGTTTCTTTGATTTGAATTCAGAAGTAGCTTTAGTTTACTAAGCTACTTCAATCCTTTAAAATTGTAATTTTGTTATTGTTCCTAAGAGAGAACATGCATAGTGCGCCAGAATAACTGGGCCACCCTTTTGACCTAATGATCGGAACTTCACTTTCTAGGAATCAATTTTAATGGTTCCAAAGGGTGACCTCAAATAAGAAAATTAATTAAAGCTCACGATATTTTAAGTAACGAAATCATAAGTTAAAATAAATTTTCTTTGATAAACTTACCTTTTTCCAGAGGATTCGAATTTTTTACCCACAAATTATAGGATGTAGCCTCAATCTGGAAAATATGTTGCCCATAGTTTCATCAGGTCAGTGGTCCAATGTTTTCACAGTA